TGAGGGGAGAGAAGCCACAATGATGTCATCGCTACTGAAGAGCTCTGTGAGCTGAGATAATGAAGACCTCTCCACCCAAGGCATTACCATTGCTTCAGTGCAAACTTCCTAAACTTTCAAACACCTCAAGCTCCAATTCATTGCAAGGGGCAGTGTGCTTTATCTTCTGAACTATTAAAAAGAAATCCTCACAGAACATGTTTCACTTTCACTAAAACTTAGCCTCTACGTTTAGTGAGTCAGTAACACAGTGCCAGAATGGAATGATTTCTTCATAAACTTAAGGTGGGAACAAAAGATCATACATTTTTTTCATTAGGAACAGGCACACTATTCAAATTATTTAAATTCCAAGAATTTGGTAGAAAATATGCTGTTATATGAACAGTAACAACTTCCCACCCCATAATCCTGAATATATGTATAAATATGGCTTTGAGAAGCAAATTGAAAGAGCAATAATTTGAGGACAGTTAGCCTCCAATGGTTTTTATATATTGACTATTCTAAAAATATTTTAGAAGCTATGAAAATTATCTAAGGGTGGGAAAAAGGGTTGATGAACACAATTAACCACATATTAGGAAACTACACACACATGACAGAGGCCTTATGACACTGGGAAAACTGGCCTCATAGAACAGAACTCAGTACAAAAGCAAACTTCTGTCCAAGCCCTGTTGGAGAATGTCAATGCAGAGCAATGACTTTTAGACATCAGACTCTCACAGAAAACTACAATTTTCTCTTACCACCTGATTTATAGTACATTCTTCTTCAATTATAGACAATGTTGCATATGAAAAAGTGACCTCCTTTAATATAGTCTACGTAAGCAGCTTGAGAGAAAATATTATTTAAAAGAATATTATACAGTTAGGTAAAGTAAAGGTGAGGGCCAGAAGAGATAGCTCAGCATTTAAGGACATTTGTTGTTCTTGAAGAGGACCCAGGTTCCATTCCCAACACCCAAAGAACATCTATAAATGATCTCTAATCCTAGTTCCAGAATATCTGAGAGCCTTTCCAGCCCTCCTCACCACACACACACACACACACACACACACACACACACACACACACACACACACACACACACGTAGGCAGTAATACCCATTCACATAAAATAAAAATAAGTCAATCTTAAAAGAAAAAGAAAAGGTAACCACAAATTAAAATAGACAAATGGTATCATAACCAGGGATTCAGGTACATTTTCTCTGTGTTTACAGCTGTGATACCCTGTCTTCCTACAAAAATCTAAGGCAGATATTTGCTCTTTTTTCCCCATGGAGAATATATGGTGAAAGAAAGAGTCAAGGATACATTCTATTCTGAATAGAACAGATATTCAGTCTAATGGACACAATGAGAAAACATGAGTCTGGGTAAACAGAATGTTTAGAACAGTTTAGCAGACCTCCCACCCCCAAATCAAGTAAGAAATGAGAGTTGCTAAAGAATACTAAGGTAGGAAACATTCGGAGGGTTGGGACATGAATTAAAACAAGACCCTCATATTTTATTCAAAAGGGAATTTTAGTCTAGATGATGGCCTACAGGATTATATTTCAGAAGGATCACTACAGAGCACTCTCCACAGCAGACTCCTTACACTACAAGCATGCACAAAAACATTCACCAGAATACAAACAAATTACATAACTTTATATACCTCTCTTTATTGTATACTTTCACATTCCTATAGTGGGGTAGGATCTGTAATGTGTAATATGCATTTTGTACAATTTAGAAATGATAGCAATCCATTAGTGTGTATGAACACACACATCTGTAGAACCCTTGGGAAATAGCACTTGCCTGGAGAAGGTGACTGTTTGGGGGACTGGCTCTGAGGGCTACATAGCCCAATCCCCTTTCTTATCTTGTGTCTGCTTCCATGTTTGTTGAGACAAGAGAATGCAGTTGTGACAGGATCCTTCTGCCATAGTTCCCTGTGCTGTGGAGTCAGCTGCCTGCCATGATAGACAGCATCCTCTTATACTATGAGCCAAAATAAACTGTTCCTCCTTTAAGTGGCTTCTTGATCATAGCAATGATAAAAGTGACTGATACAGATGGTTGGCAACTCTTTACAAGAGTGCTGGACCACCATAAAGGGAAGATATAGTCATACTAAAAATCAAAGAGTTAACTTATGATTGAGCACTTAGCAAATACAAGGAACTTAAATGAGGTTCTTTATTTCAGTTTTTTTCTTTAAGGCTTTGAAATATGTACTATTTTTTTTTCTTGACTTACAAATGAGGAAATGGACTTTGACAGATTAAGTAACTTTACCAAAGTCATGAGGCTATTCAGTGCACATCCTTTTGATAAAACACACTACAGCCAAAACATATTTACCCATCATTTACAGGTTAGACTCATATCTATGTAACTGAATTGAGTCATGAGTATCTCTGGGTACTTTTTAACTTTATGTTAAAAATAGTTAAGAGCAATACTTTTATAAACCATGTTTCACCATTGTTACCCACACTCCAGTCTTCTTGTCCTCAGAAACAAGCTCTTTTATTATCTACCCAACCTTACATCTTAATTCAAACTCTGACATCCTTTCAACATTCAGGTCTAGTCCCTCAAACACTGTGGGTTGTATCTTGATCAAAATACGCTATCTTTAAAGTTGCACAAAGTCTATTTTCTAGATGGCTCACTGAAGTATTAATTTCACAATGACTTAGTTTTAATTGGTTATGTTTTTATTGCAGTATACTGAACAGCAGACAATCAGAGTAAATCCCTATGAAAGTTGAAGATGTTGTATACTGTTAATATTCACATCTGAGCAGGTAAATATTTAAAATCAATTATTATCATTCGTGTTTTACATGTTAAAATCCCTTTCCTATTGATTTGCTTTCTGATTGCTTCATGGAATAAGATAATCTCCATACTGCATTCATTTTCTCTATAATAATTTAAAATATACTAAAGAAATCCCACATATATAATTAGTATTTCCATATGAGTTTAATAGAAGTATCTCAACAAATGATTTCAGATTATTTAACAGTGGAAAATTTTAATCTAACAATACTTAAAGGAATGTTTGCTCAATGGCATATCTTCATAATATAACAATATCTTCCATGTATTGCTACTGATAAAATTACCTGCTAAAATTAATTTCTATCATTTCATGTTTTCCTTTTACAAAGCTCATGAAGGATTCTCTTTGATTCATGCACAGGTCATGAGAATCTCCCAAAGCAAAGGGTTAGGGCACCTATTCACATGTCTAAATTCAAAGAAGACTAGGCATCTACCCAACCCCTAGCATTACCAAGGCTAAGTCTTCCCATTACTCCTGCTTGTTCTGTAGTTTCACTCCCCAGTAACCAGGAGCAACTCCTAAACCATTTCTGACTACTTCACGTTTCCCACCTGCGACAAAGACACTCCTTCAGGGCACCATGACAACCACACCAGCACCACAAGCACTTGGGTTCTTGTAGAAAAATGAAAAACTCTGAAAGGAAGCTAGGAGATAAAGGCTTACAAGTCCTCGCTTCCCACTGGTAGGAAGTAATTACAAAAATTACTTTAACACAGAGCTACTGGTGAATGAATAGCTTGTAATGTGAGGAGAGAAGCCTAAGGGCCTATAGACTCAACACAAAATATGAAAAGCTGAATGATGTCATGTACTCAACCCCCCATCCCTAGACTGCCTGGAACAAATCTCTGATGATGACAGTGTGAGCAGTCTTTGGGACTGGTCAGGGTGTGTGTGTGTGTGTGTGTGTGTGTGTGTGTGTGTGTGTATTTTAAATCTGAGTTTAGACAAAGGACTGAATAGTGAAGGATAATTTTGAATGCACATCTTTATTATCAATTTCAATCTCATAAGCAGAGTCAGATAGAAAATCATTTTGTACAGACTATAGATGTCAAAGTAAAGGATGATTCTCGATTTCTGTAGCAATGTTCAGAGAGAAGCAAATCAAACTCTCCCATTGTAATGACTTAGAGGTCGTGATGACACAGAGAAGCATCTCTATCACAAGCATGCCCAGCTTTTGTTCGTTGCTGACTAGAAGGATGGCACACCTCATGACAGGGACAGCAAAAGCAGTACTTTACCCAGGCCACCAACTCTGCACTGACCACAAATCACAGGGACATTGCTAAAGTCCTGGAGGTCTCAAACTGTGTTTGTGCTGGGGGGGAAGGAAGGGGATGTTTGTCTATGCATGTGGTGCCAGAGCTCAGCTTTGGGTATCTTCCTCTATTACTTTCCACATTGGTTTTTGACATGACCTCGAGATTCAGCTTGGAAGGAAGTGATGGGGTTCAGCTTGGAAGGGAGTGATCAATGATCAGGTTCAACTTGTAAGAGAGTGATGAGGTCAAGTTTGGAGGGTCTGATCTTGTTTGAAGATGAGAGCAAAGTCTTCTGTTGATATCACTATGTTCAGGTTTCATTACACCAACAAAACCAGAAAAACTTCAAGTGCAAGCCATAAGGTTTACATTTCCAACCTACCTAAAAATAAAATTCTACAGAAGAATTTCACTTATTTCTTTACCAAAAAAGAAAGATTATTTCTTTGTTTATGGTGTGTGCAATAAACTTCAAAGTCAAGCAGCTATCAGTTTGGTCTTAAAACTTAACCTCACTGTATTAATAGATCTCACTTACCAACTTTTACAGTGACACAAATAGGGCATAATTTAAATATTTCTTAACAAAAAAAATAATTGCACATTTAAGACAGGCTAACCAAGACCATAGTTTTAATGGACAACTTTTAAAATAAATCATGAAAAGTGAACTGATTGTCACAACTCACCGGTATAGAATACCTGCAACATGTACAAAAGCTAAACTTGGATGATTATTATGGAAATTTCTATTCAGCTTCCACATTTCCCAAAAGCACATGCCAATCAAGCTCTCTTGACTGATGGAAGGGTTGTTTTCCTCATCCCTCAAATCTGTATTTAATTATTAAGCCTGTTGAGATGCCTACCCCTGTTGTAGACGTCTTCTGACACACCTCTGGGGGCCTGGTCCACAGTTGCCCTCTTGTAGACAACGTGAATTCTTCCCTTTTCTTCCTCCATTTGCTTCCCTCTCTCCAAGGGTTCAATGAAATATTCTTCAGTGTCACTTCTTATCATTCCGGCCTGAAGAAAGCACAAAATGTGTCCATTTTAAAAATAAATACCATGTTCAACTAACAAATACATCCTTTTAAACAGCAAGGACATAAATCATGAAAATATTTTTTCTTTCTTCATTTTATTATAAATTCAAAGCAGTGAAGTCATACTAGTCATTCTTGTGTATCACTAATCCACATTTAACAAAAGAGATACATGTGAGTGTTCGGGAGATGGCTCAGCCACTAAGAATATTAACTGATCCTCTGCAGAGTACCCAGCTTTGGTCTCAGCCCATACATGGTGATTCACAACCCCTTGCAATTCCAATTCCAGGGGATCAGAAGCATTTTTCTCATCTTCAGGAGTCTGTGCAAGCAATCTCTCTCTCTCTCTCTCTCTCTCTCTCTCTCTCTCTCTCTCTCTCTCTCTCTCTCTCTCTCCTAAACCATTTAAAAAATCATATTGCAGGAATGAAAAATCTATATAAAGAGAAAATAACAAGCTGATGCAACATAAAAATTAAATTAAATGACATGCCATTTCATCTGAGTACATAAAGAGTGGATTCTACATGGTGTCTGCTCAGCAAAAGAATCTTATGGAACACAGAAACTCAAAAAAAAAAAAAAATCCCTGCCTTCCAATAACAACTATTATGGATCTGTTATGGATTACACTCTACTACTTGAGCAACTCATTTCCATCTCCCACCTGGACATCACAGTATGAGAGATGTGGGTTCCATAACACAGTCTTTGGTGGAAATCCCATACTCCTAATACTCATTAATCTGTAGAACAAACACACATCCATGACTAAAATGTCCCATTTTGTCATCAACACCATCTACAGTGAGCAGAAAACATTGTTAACTGACTTAACCTAACACATTTTATACTGTATTGTATATTGTACTGTGCTCTATATATACACATACATTGATACACATAAAACCTGTTAAATTTTATGATTTGAAATTCCATTGTTCATCTTTTTCTTAGTCTCTGATTTGCTTCCAATCCATTTAGTCAGCACATTTTGTAGTATATTTATAACTTTAATTTGCATTTTAAACAATTTTAGACATGCACAAAGTACATTATGATTACAAAACTGCTCTCCTAGCTAGCTAGGCGTGGTGGTACATGCCTTTAATTCCAGCTCTGGGGAGGCAGAGACAGATGGATTTCTGTGAGTATGGGGGCAGTCTTGTCTGCATAGAGTTCTGGGACAGTAAAAGCTACATAGAGAGACTGTCTCAAAACAACAACAAAATATCACCTCTAGTCTCCTTCCTATCTGTATTGCACCTCAGTAAGTCCCACATTCTTGTGTCTACTCTTTTTCTTGTCTTTCTTTTGAGGCCCAGTGAGTTTAACCAGGATCATACATGTATCCATTGAAGACTGGTGGGATCCTTAGTAAGCACACAACTGAGAATAATGACCATACTTCCTCCAGAACCCATCAGTAACCAATAATTTAAGAAGGGAAAAGTAGGGATGAGGAACCGCTCCCAGCTGATGACTGAAAGTCAGCAGGCTGTTTTATGTAGGCCCACTGCAAGTAGCCATATAGCTAATAAGAGGTCAAGACAGCCTTGGCAGTACATGCCTTGAAGACAACATTTTACAACCCATTTCCTGTTGTGGAATATTAAGTTTATGCTGTGGAATATTTGTTTAATGATGCAAAGATGTGTTGCATTCTTTTATGCTGCATTTGTTTAACTCTGTAAAGCTATGTTACTTTGCCTGTCTAAAACACCTGATTGGTCTACTAAAGAGCTGAATGGTCAATAGTGAGGCAACAGAGGGAAATGCAGTGTTGTCAGGCAGAGAGAATAAATAGGAGGAGAAAGTTCAGTTCAAGAGAAGAAGGGGAATAAGAAAAGGAGGAGAGTAGGTTGCCAGGGGCAGACACAGAGTAAGTAAGAAAGAAAGGAATATAGAATAGAGAAAGGGAAGAGCCCAGAGGCAAAAGGTAGGCAGGATAATTTAAGAAAAGCTGGCTAGAAACAAGTCAAGCTAAGGCCAGGCATTTATAAGTAAGAATACATCTCCATGTATTTATATGGGAGCTGGGTGGTAGGACCCCAAAGAGGAAAAAACAAAAATTAAAACCAAATACAATATACAATCTCCCTGTTTTCTAGCTCATATATTTTATTTTTCTGGTGCCTTCTCCCATAATGATCCCTGAGCCTGAGAATGAGTACTGCAAATGTCCTGTTTAGTACTGAGCACTCAAATATCATTTACTCTCAGCACCTTCAAGAGTCAAGTATCTCTCACTCCAGTTCACTGCGGGGGTGGGGGGGGACACTCTACCTTCACTGCCACTTCTGTAGCTCGTTTAAATTATAGATTACTTCCCTTAAGACTTCACAGATCCTAGTGATTCTCCCAGATGAGTCTGTGACTGAAGCAGATAAGGGCTCTGAGCACTGCCACTGACTCATACACCACTTGAAAGTAAGAAGGAAGGCAATGATGAAAAATCAGCTCACGTGATTTTTGAAAAAATTTCTCTACATATTGTAGGCAAACATTCAAATACCAGGTGCCATGATAACTACTTTACCCCAGTAGAGTGCAGGTAAAACCAACTTCAAACTGAACATCTCCCTAAGAAAGTAAAGTGCATTGAAGTGAGATTGGGACAGTATCAGTAGCAAGGTAAGAGGCCAGGATTTGAGGTTTAGGTATGGTCTGAATGTGTTTTCCATGAACCCTTGTGCCAGAAGTTTGATTATAGGCAACCGTATTGACAGGTAGTGAGATGTAAGAGGCAAAGTCTATCAGAAGCAACTGGGTTGACTATACCACCTTCAGAAGAGAGCAATGCAGTCCTTGAAGAATCAAGTTAGTTCTGAAGAAAGCAGTATGACACCATGTGCTTGATGCTTTCTGCACTCAACTATTTCCCCTTCTGCTTCCATTAAGGTGGGGCACTTAGAGGACCTTGCTAAGCACTAGGATCCTGTTATTTAGACTACATTCTAGCCACCAGAATCACGATCTAAGTAAAGCCCTTGCCTTTACAAAGGCTGAAGCTTTAGGGATTGGCTTATAGCAGCACAATAGTGAACAAATACTAGCACACAGGACCTCTAATATTGATGGGCAAGAAATGTGAGTCTTATCTTTCATGAATTTAAATATCTTTAAAAAATTAAAGAACTGTAAAAAAAAAAGACACAGAAAATAAAATCGTTGAAGACATGACTGATCTACCCTCTGATTCAGTCTAGCAAAACAGAGTACACAGGCCTATAGGGATTCACTGAGGGTTGTTACAGAAAATTCAGAGACATGGTTGATAAGTGTGAAATCAAATTTGCATACTACCCCTTTCATAATCTCACTGTACTTGGCAAAATAACTTTGAGGGCTAACATTTTATTTAGTTTCTTTTATTTTCAAGATCACAATATAATTACATCATTTTCCCCTTCCCTTTCTTCCCTACAAACCCATATTCCCCTCCTTGCTTGCTTTCAGATACATGGCCTTTTTTCATTACTTGTTACAGAAACACACACACATACACACAACTCCTCATTCCTCACCAAGGGAATTTCTCTTTGCCACTGACTGAAACAGTTACACAGAGCCACATCCAACCAAATTGCAGAGTTGTGGAGCCCGATCCCAATGTATACATCCACAAAACACTCCTGCACCTAAGGTTCAACTGAAGAAGGGGGGCAGAAAGATTCTAAGAGTTGGAAGATCAGGGTATTTGCTGCGGGAATGTTTCTCCAGGTCATATTAGAGACTAATGACCTTCTAATCCAAATTATCCCATATTCATTTCTATGGAAATCACCCTGGCGCACCTCACAATAAACCTGCAACTTGGTCACTGCTGTTACTTACAGCATCTCACTCTCACATAACACAGCAGGCAAAACTTCCCTCTAAAATAATCATGTTCATTTGGACAAAGGAGGAATGGCCCGATCATAGAGAGGCTTCCTTATGGTGGTTCATGCCTTGTTGAAGGAGTGTGGGCACTACAGAGCCACACTAGGGTCTAGATTGATGGTGGCTCTAACACTTGGTAAGTCTGCCCAGTCAGCAATGGAAAACTCCAAGGAAGCCTACAGGAGAGTCCATGAGGAGCCTGTCCTAGTCACATTGTTCACCATTTCTCTACATCCACAGTCAGGATTGAATTACAGGGATCACAGCCAACTTTAAAGAGGGCCAGAAACATACCCTGGCTGTATGCCCAGAGCAGAGACAGATTTTGATGAGCAGATGGAAGTGGCAACCTTAAATGAACTAATGTCACTCCTCCACTTACATTTATTTCCATTGCTTCCCCTTCCACTTAAAATGACACTTGCTGCCACAGCCACTGGGTCCTGTTTCACATGGCTCTACATGCTTCCCTCAAGGAACCATTGTCACCATACTCCTCAGGCCCCAGTCACGGGGGGAATGCTTAGAAAGCCCACTCTATACATGCACATTGCCAGTTTATATTCTCTGTCTCATCAAATAAAAAAAAATGCTACCTTCTTAAAAGTGGTTTTCTCATACCTTTATCTCATAGAAATTTGGTGCTCTCCTTGAGTCAAACATTCAGACTTACAGCAATATGTTGCTTCTGCCATTCTTTGTCTCTTATAGCTCTTATTACAAATTACCAGGGTTGAGCTTACCCACATGTATTTGTTATTCTTTGTCCTCTGCAAGCTTGTCAGCTCTCAGGATAGACATGTCTATCTTAATTATCTGGTTTTTTGATTGAGGTTGGCTTTCTTTTTAATTAATTTTACATGCCGACCAGTTTCTCACACTTCCTTTCCTCCTGTTCTTCCTCTCCTACTCCAATATAGAATGGCACATAAAGTTGAGGCAAGACCAAGCTCCTCCCCCTGCATCAAGACTGGACAAGGCAACCCAACATGGGAAATGGGTTCCTAAAAGCCAGCTCAATTTCCAGGGTCAGGTCCTGATCCCACTGCTAGGAACCTCACAAACAACTACTCAACTGTCACACACATACAG